AGAATCTATCGCTTATAATGAATTCTCCTCCCACTACATTCTGTGAAGATCTTATCCAACCCACTTTATTGAATGAAAGAGGAAATTAAAGACCTTATTGAATAGATTAATCCATGACTATTCCACTGGTTACAAGTAATCAAAGATTGAATTCCTGAGAAATGTTAAGGATGCAATATCTACTGAAGTCCAACAACTCTCAAGTAGAAGGTGAGGAGGGTCTCCTCCTATAATAAGACGAGATCAATTCATGGAATCGAGTCCAAGTGGACCAATTATTGTTACAGATCATCATAGGGAGCTAAAGAAGTTCTCATATAATGATCAACATGTAGAATCAGTTCACGTGCATAGTCAAGAAGTCAACCAATTATTGTTATATATCCCCTAATGAATCAGTACACTTAAATACTAAGAATAAGGGAATCGCGATAGAAGAACCAGAGAAACCATTAAACAAACATGTGAAGGTTGAACCACTATCATTGCAGTCTATGGATATCAAGCAAATGGTGGAAAAATAAGTTCGATAGGCATTAACGAAATCCTTGAGTACTTCATCTATTATAAGGGGTGGATCATATTAAAAAGAATACAATTTAGTCTCTTATCAAAAGGATTTACATCGCCTTCTTTCAAAATTTTTTATGGTACATGTTATCTTAAGCAACACCTTGCTCATTTTAAAGCTAGTTGCTGTAATATTGGAAGCAGTGATGTGTTATTATTCAGGTAGGTCGTCAATTATTCATTTTGTATTAAATTTGATTGGTATGCTGAACTGCCAAATGGAATGGTCCTTACCTTCAATTACCGAGAAGCTATGTTTGTAAATAGATTTGCTTGTGCAAAGTATCACATCACCATCAGTGATCTTGTAGTTTCGAACTAGAAGTTGGGTGAAAGTCTTGTAGACTATCCTAGGTTGTAGGAACCTCAACATGATATTTTAGCTAAAGCTATAAAAATAACATGCTATTGAGACCCTTATGAAAATAATTTCCTTCGTTCGGAAAGGTTTTATAATTAAAACTTTCGAGAGGCTACTTAAGTAAAGCCTTCAATCACTAAGAGGGAAACTTCTTAGCTATCATTCATAAAAGATCAAGCTTCTTTAGTAATGAAGAAGTTAAAATCTCATAAAGTATTAGAAAAGAAATCTAGGATAGTGTTTGCTATTCAGATGGGAAAATAGTCGATGTAGATTCAACAAAATAGTTTATGTAGATTTAGGAAAAAAATCTAATTCGAGTTCCTCAGTATTAGATGTTCAATAGTGCTTAACATGACCATTAGTCTAGACCTTGACCTTATCTAACTTTAGAGCAGTAAAAGATCAAGTTCAACTACTTTAAGAATAAAGTATACCAGTTTGAACTAGAGGCCTTCAAGAAAAATTTTAAGAGTCTCATGAAGAAGGTAGGATTTAAACTCTCTGATCCCAAGAAACTAAAAGAAGTTATCAAAGCAGTGCAACCCAATTATTATCTATATCATTACATATTAGGTATTGAGTTGGAAGATTGTATAACTTTCAAAGAGTGGATGGACAAGAACTATAAAGATGGGATAGTTGTAATACCCAAAGAATAATTAGGGGATTCGAGTCAGAAATCTAATAAATGTATATTTGGTGAACCTTATGCACCTTCTCTTATTTCAAAACCTAATGAGGGGCAGGTATAGCTTTATCCCATTATTCTAAAAGAACCCTAAATAAATTATATCATTCATATTTTGAGGTGCTCCCGAGAGTACAAAATCCCTTCCAGTTGATCTGGAAGTTTTTGAAGAGAAGAAGAATAATATTTCAACCAAAGAGCTTAAGGAAGTGCGAGTTGATCAAGCTCCTACAACTTTAAGAGAGGGATTTAAGATATGATAATTTTGTTATTTTTGCAAATGGTTAACATATTTCCTTTAAACCACTAACTCTATATGACTTTAATTTCATCCCTCCTAGGACTTAGAAAGTAAAGAAAAAGGATTTTGCATATATCATATTTAGATATTCTACATATATCATATTAATGAATAAGTTCAATAGCTAGATGTAGAGAATATAGAGATTCCAAATGTGGATTATAATATTTTAGAGCTTTAGAAAAATTCTTTTAAAACTAAGAATTTTTTATAATCTAATTCTCTCCGAAGAAATGAAAGAGGCTTAAGTGAAGGATTTACTCAATCTAGAGATATGTATGGATCAGCTAGTGTCAACATAGTCAAAAAATAAAACCCTATTCTTGGAAGTTCAAGGTGTCACATTTTTTTATGAAGATTTGTTTTTGGGTTCAACATATCATAATCATATGTTGTATATTTCTATAAGCAAAGATAACTTTAAAGTATCTTGTGTGCTTCTTGATTTGAGTGCATCAGTCAACATTATGACTCTTAAAACTCTCGCATACATAAGGGTGGACACTCCAAAACTCAGCTCTGATAATAATATATTGCAAGGATTCAACAAGAAGGATGAGATGGCTTTGAGTTCAATCACTTTCCTATAAGAAATAGAAACCATAAAAATCAAAGATAAATTCCATTTAATAGTCTGAAGCCTCTTTTAACACCCTCCTAGGTTGATCCTGACTCCATGAATACATTATGGTGCCTTCCTAGGGTTGGTATATATAAAGATGATTCATAATTTCTACCTAAGAAGTAGATTGTTTTCTCTAAAAATCTCATACTAACTAAAGTACAAGTAAAAAAAAGAGAGAGAGAAAAAGAAAGAATAAGAAAAGGAAAAAGAATAGTGTTCTAATCTCAAACATGACATTCTCTGGTCACATATTACTCTCTCACAAAGAGGTGGTAGAATGATACAATAATATAGAGGAAGAGGTCAAGGATGGTAAAATCAAATAATACAATAGAACTAAAATCAATATATGAAAATATGAAAACCTAAAAAACATATTCATTTGGAATCAGCTCGAAGGATGAACCATATATACTTTGGAAAGACCCGTAGGCTGTAGAATATAAGAAATTCATAAATTAGCCAAAGTTTGAGATTCTTATCTAAATTAATAATGTAAAGGATAAGGTCCAAATTTTTAAGTAAGATAACTTAGATTTATCTATAATAGAGAGGTTAAAAATGTATTTGGAAAATATTTCCTTAACCCCACTATCCCGGAATGATTTAAAAAGGTTGTAGGTGAATGTCTTTCTTTCTTTAAACTCTAATAGTAAACCCAATATCTTTGTACCTTCCACCAGTAGTAGACCTCCAAAAATTAATGTAATCCTCAATGATCCATTTATGGATAAGATAATAGTACTATATTTTGATTGGTATTCAAACTCTATAAATAAATTTAATAAGGTTTAACACCTTTAAATTGAACTAGAGGTGAAGCCAAGTAATTTGAATGATTATGGACTACAAAATATAATAAATATACATTAAGATCGAGTATTGGATTCAAAACTCTATATTCATTTGATGATGATGAATATTGCTTAATTATATCAAATATTGAAAAGTTTGATAGTCTTTTAAAGAACTCTATTTAGAAGCTTCAGATGATTTGGATGACTCTTAAGTTGGGGATGTACCTCCTGAACTTGAAGAGGAAATTAAATCTACAATTGATGATCTAAAAGAAATAAATTTCGGCATCGAGGAAGAATCTCATCTAATCTTCATCTCTTATTTATTGAATTAGGATGAGGAGAATGACATGATTTAAATATTATCAAAATTTAAAGATTGCTTCACCTGGAGTTATGAATAGATGCACTGATTATCTCCGTACATGGTAGTTCACAGGTTGACGATTCAATTAGAGATAGTTCCACTAAGACAAGCACCTCGACGTATGTGAATTAATATCAAGTAGAATGTCGTGGTTGAAGACAAGATGTTATTTTTAGAGAACTCATGGTAGATGCCACTTCCGCACGCAATATTCTCCTTCATGGACGACTAATATGGATATAATTAAATTAAAATGATCACTTAGAGGAAAAATATACAACATTTAGAAGGTCGATAGGGATTTACTACTACAAATTCAAGGCATTCTGATTAAAGAATGCGGGAGCAACTTTCCATTGTGCAATGATGAGGCTTTTTCTTGAACTCATTCACTACTAGGTGGAGTGTTATGTCAATGATCTAGTCATTAAAATTCTTGAAAGAGATAATCATTTATATTATTTGAGAATTATTTTCTAAAGATAATTCAATTTTTTTATTCAATTTTCCTAGTGAGAGAAACTTAGTGAGAGAAACTTTGGGATTTCAAAAAATTTTCTATTTTTTCTGTTTGTCTTCTGCGGCGTCTTCTTCCACAACTGGTGGATCCGACGGTCGGCCGGAAGGCCGACTGTCTTGATAGTATAGTATGGAGTGCAATCGGGTTCTCTCATCATAATCCTGGTCTAATTACAGGAAAGGATTATCAATTCCTGTGAAGAAATCTACTGAAGTTTTCAAAGGAGGTTTGGATAAGCTGGACGAATTCAACAAGAAGTTCAAAAATCTGACACCTAAAGCATTGGTGATTAATGAGGGTGGTTTGTTAAAAAAGAAATCTTCTCCCGTTGTGGCATCGGGGAAAGGGAAGGAAATCATAATAGAGGATGCTGGATTTAAATTGAAATCCTTTAACAGTCCCGTTTCTGTCAATGAAGTTATTGGTAAATTCAATCTGAAAGCTTCGTCTTCTAAGGGAACAAGGGTCTCAATTATCAAAAAGGTGAATTATGCTTCCCTGCCGTCTTCTCCTAGTAGAAAGGAATTTACAAATTCCCCCCAATCGAATTTAAAATCCAGAATTGAAGAAAAGGTGAATGAGGTATTGCTCCAAAGGCATGATACTGAGTCTACTCTCAATGAACCAGTTGTTCCGAATGATCCTAACAATCGTAAATTGGAGGAGAACAGTTCAGTCTGGCATAAGAAGCATAACATCAAGGTTGATAGCCTATATCTGGGCTATTTTCTAACATAAGATGGCAAAGGTATTAAACTACTTGCTGAGATGGAATTGGAGAATGTCAAGAGACTGGAAAAAGCTTTAGTAGTGAAGATATTTGGGGATGATATTCCTTTTCATATGGTTAGCTTGGATCTAAGAAGACAATGTAATGGTTTTGGGAAATTCCATATAACTGTATTGGGACTTGGATGGATGCTATGCTCATTTGAAGATTCAATTGTTGTGGAAAACATCCTTTCTGGCGGGCCTTGGTGGGTAAGAGGACAAGTAGTAGGTCTGGAAAAATGGTCCACTTCATTCAATCCTAATTCTCTCAAAGGAATTTCTGCTCCCGTGTGGATCCGGCTTCCCAATTTACCTCTTCAATGCTGGGACGAGGTAAACATTTGCATGATAGCTTCGATGGTGGGCAAACCATTCCTACTTGATGGAAATATTTTCCAATGGAGTAGAAGGGAATTTGCACGGATTTGTGTTCGTATTCCCTTAGATATTAAACTCCCAAAAGGCATTTGGGTGGAAGGAATTTCTGGGAAGTTTTTTCAGGCGGTAGAGTATGAAGGTTTCTCAAAAATTTGTGAGGAATGCAATAGAATTGGTCATGTGGCGAACAATTGCTCAGAAGTTAAAAAAGATACTGTCTCAATGAATGCTTATGCATCGGAAGCATTCAAAACAGGAAAACAAATGGCAAAAGCTAAATCTGTTGTTAATACAGAGAAAGCAAAGGAGGACTCATGGATCCAAGTGAAACATGGTAATAGAAGATTCAAAAGAATGGGTGAAAAGAGTCACTTCTTTAATAGGATATCTACTTCTATGAAAAAAATTTATATTCCAAAAACTTCTGTTGATAATTCAAAAACAAATGGCATGCCAAAAGGAGCTTCTTTGAAAGATGTACAGCAAGTTTCAGAAACTATTGCAGTTCCGGGAGCAATGACTGAAGGAGAGAATAGAGCATATCTACTCAGTAAAATTCCAGATATTCAACAATCTGAGGTAAACCGGCATGTGTCCCCTCTCAGAACTATCAATAAATTTGATTTACTTGCAAATATAGATGGTTCGATCCTAAATGAAGATATGGAAAAAATTGATAATGCCTGTATAGAAGAAGGTGAGATTGTTGAACAAACATCTCAGAAATTATCAAATGTAGAAGCAGTATTTGATAAAAAAAAATTTCTTTAAGCAAGCAAATGATAAAGACTCTCATTTTACTGAGAAGGAAACTATTGATAACTTATCTTCTGGAAAGAAGGTGAAATTGCTCAAAGAATTGAAATCTCTTGGATCAGGAAATATATTGGAAAGAGAAAGGAAAAAGTGGGGAGTTAGAAGCAAGAAGATTGGGGGACCTTCTCCCATCTTTAAGCAATGAATTCGATGATTTTATGGAATTGTAGAGGAGCCAAGAAGGTGGAGGCTACTCTATATTTGAAGGAAGTGATTAAAGACCACCAAGTTTTTTTTGTTGGGTTGATGGAGACTAAAATTAACTCATTGGAGAAATCTTAAATCAACAATTTTCTGGGAAACAATTGGGACTATTTTTTAGTCCCCTCAGAAGGTTTATCTGGAGGATTGACAGTTTTATGGAGAAAGGATCTGGCATCGTTCATAGTGGATGAAGTGTCTTCTCAATTGATAGTGGGTAAACTGCATATTTTCAATAAAGGTACCTGAAAAATTGCAACTGTTTTTGGGAGTACCAAAACCACTGAGAGGAAAAAACTCTGGGAATGCTTAGAAAATCATTGCTCAGAGGAATTTCCTACAGTGATAGGAGGGGATTTTAATTGCATTCTTTGTCAAAGATGAGAAGAGAGGTGGTAAGAAATTCTACTTATCTTAAGGAGCTAAAGATTTGAAGAACTTTATGATCAACAATGATTTACATGAGGTGGAGTCTATGGGTCCTAAATTTACCTAGTGTAACAATAAATTAGGAGGAGCTCGGATTCTAGAGAAACTAGATAGATGTCTTATTAACTCCAATGCTTTTAACTCTATTCACCTTGCTAAGGTGAAACATCTATCTCGCATAGCGTTAGATCATTGCCCAGTTTTATTAAGTATTTTCAAACCTGCTGTGTTTAATAAAGCTGATATACATTATGAAGACGTGTGGGCAACTTATCATGGAGCATAGGCTATTGTGAAGAAGTCTTGGAATAAATTTGCTGGATTGAATCCGGCAGATTCACTCAATGTTAATTTCAGAAGAACTCTTAGATATCTTTCTTACTGGAGCAAGGCCAAGTTCAAAAACCTTACGATTCTTCGGGACAAATTGAAAGAAGAAATTCAAGAATTGTAATTGGAAGAAGGTGAAATGGGGATTTCTTTGGAAAAGCTTCAGATTTTAAGATTCAAAATTAATGAACTCAATGCAACTCTAGCTAGACTCAATACTTGGTGGAGGCAAAGATCTAAAGCAAGGTGGATGGAAGAAGGAGATTGCAATTCAGGTTGTTTTCATGCTTTTGCTAATGCTAGGAAAAACACCAACTAGATTAGTCACATTAAAACCAATGAAGGGAGATTACGGAGGATGCTATTGAAATTCAAAAAGTTTTTTCTGAATTTTTCCAGCTAAAATGGAAGCATTGAAATTGTTTAATTGAAGGATGGCCGATTCCTGGAGCAGTAATCAATGATAATGATCAAGCTGTTTTGGATGCTGAGATCACTAGGGAGGAGCTTCAAACTATCTTTCAAAATTGTAGTTGCAATATTGCATTAAGAGTGGATGGGATAACTTTTTCCTTCTAGAAAAAATTCTGGAATCTGATTTCTGAAGATGTTTGGTTAGCAGTGAATCATTTCCTAGTTTCTGGAGATATGCCAATATCGTGGAAGGAAACTATTATAGTATTGATTCCGAAAATTCAAAATCCTCAAGAGGTAACAAATTATCGACCTATTAGCTTATGTTTGACAATTTATAAAATTATTGCAAAAATGCTCTTAAGTAGATTGGAATTAGTTAGTCATAAATTAATCTCGACGGACGCACTTTGTCAGATCATGTTCTTTTAGCACAAGAAATATTCAATAAATTTCAGTATTCTAAATCTAGGAAAAGTATATTGGCAATAAAGCTTGACATGGAACAAGCTTATGATAGCATGGGATGGGATGCTTTAAGGCAAGTGCTTTCTCATTTTAACTTTCCTACTAAGTTTAAGGAACTCATTTTACAGTGTATCTTAAATCCCAAGTATTGCATTTTGATTAATGGTAAGAGATCAAATTGGATTTATGGAAAAAGTGGATTTAGGCAAGGTTGCCCTTTATCCCCTTATTTGTTTATTCTTTGCTCACAAATCCTGTTAGATGCCCTTTATGGTAGGATAGGGGATATAGGGATTTCTATTTCTCCCAAGGCTCCTAGAGTGTCCCATTTTCTTTATGCAGATGATATTTTGATCTTCTCTGAATGCAATAGTAAAGTTATTAATGATTTGAAAACTATCATTAATAATTACTGCTTATGGTCGGGACAAAAAGTTAACAAGGGTAAGTCTATGGTTATTTTTGGCAAGTTTACTAATCATAGAACTAAAAAGAGAATCTCCAAACTTCTTAAATTCAATGTGGTCAAAGAATTGAATTATCTTGGGGTAAAGATGACATTGAGGAGGATGGTATCTTCAGACTTCTCTAGACTCATGGAAGTGGCAGCAAATAGACTAAATATTTGGTGACAAAAGTTCATATCTTTGGAAGGCAAGATGGTTCTCATTAAATCAGCTTTCCTCTCTCTTCCTATGTTCTTAACTTCAATCTCTCTTGTTCCCTTAAGCATTTTAAAAGAATTTGATAAAATGTGTAGATGCTTTTTGTGGAAAAAGAACAATGGCAATATAGGTATTCACTATTCATCTTGGAAAAAGTTATGCAAAACCAAGGAAGAAGGAGGTAGAGGATTATTCTCTGCAGTTTCAAGGATTGGTCCATTATGGGCCAAAATAGCATGGAATTTATGTACAAAGACTTCTACTATGCTGAATCAAATCTTAAGAGCGAAATATGGTGACGACGTCTGGTTGACTCCAATGAAAAGAGATTGCTCTTCAACTTGGAAAATCATCACTATGGGAGCTCAGTATCTTAGAAATATTATTAGATGGAATGTTTCTAATGGCAACTCTATTAACTGGATGTTCGATAGCTGGATTATGGATAGAAGCTTAGAAAGATGGCCAACATTTGTAAACTGTTCTGAAAATAGTGAATTAAAATTGAGTTATTTCATTTCTAATGGGAAGTGGAATATGATCAGATTCAAAATACATTTGGGGAACATCTGAGGGAGCTTATTTTTGCAATTCCAATTCAAGCCAAAAAAGGATTTGATAGCATTGAGCTTAATTCTAAATTCTCTGGAAAATCAATCGCTGTTCTGGTTTTTCATTCAGATTTGGATAAAAATGATGATGGTTCGATATGGAGTTGGATGAAAAAATTGAAGTTGAGACCAAAGATTGAGCTGTTCTGGTGGAGGCTGTACAATGATGGCTTACCTTCTAATGATTTTCTAGTTAGAAGGAAATTGAGTAACTTCTCAGGTTGCCCGAGGGGATGTATATAAGATGAGAATGAATGGCATATAGAAGGAAATTGTTCAAAGCTTCATGAAGTAATCTTTTTGCTCAAAAAATGGGGATTCAAAATTCCTATCTTCAACAACTTACAAGATTGTTTTGAAGGTTTAAAGAGCTTGTGGAGAAAAATCCTATCATTGCCAATATGTATTGTACGTCTACTTGGCTAGTGTGGAAAAGTAGATGTAAATTGACTCATGATGGCATAGAAGACTCCAATAATTTATTGGCAGCAAATGTGGTTTCTACATCTACATTCAGCAATTTTTTTAATCAAGTTCCAGAAAACTGGGATACTAACCAGCGTGAGCTATTTTGCTCTTGGTATCCTCCTCCAACCGGTTGGATTAAATTAAATGTAGATGCTTCTATCTTATCAAACAATGTGGCTGGATTTGGAGGTGTAATAAGAAATGAGAAAGGAAGATTCCTTCTAGCGTTTGGAGTAAATATTATGCTTTGGGATATTGCTCAAATTGAATTGATGGCAATTCTTCACTTGAAATATATATTTCGTGATTGGATGTTTGAAGCTCAAGGAATCATTATTGAAGGAGATAATTTCAACATTATCAATCTTCTTCAATCGGCTATGAAGAATTGGAAGGTTAGTAAACGCATTGAAGAGAATTCTCATTCCTTCTTGATTTCAATCATGTTATGTTTTCTTTTAGTAAAAGATGTTGTAACAAATTCGCGGATATATGTGCTAATTTGGCTTTAAAGAGTTCATTTATTTGGGAGAACACTGGTGTTCAAGATATTCCTCCTTCATTCTTGTTTTGCTTGAAGGAGGAATGTGACTCTTTAGGTTTGCTTTAGGTCTTGTTTTTAGGCTACTTTTTTTTTATTATTATTAATGCAATTTGCATTTCATCAAAAAAAAAAAAAAAGAATTATTTTCTAAAGAATAAATCAATAAAATTTAAAAATGAATCCTTTTAAGTATGCTTTCAATGTCATATTAGAATTTTTTTTTTGTTTTTTTATGGTTCGACACCATGGTATTGAAATTGATACAAACAAAATTAAAGAAATAATAGAAATGCCTCCACCAAAAAGCCTTACCTATTTGAGATCCTTCCAAGATCAATTAGTGTTACTTAGGAGATTTGTATAGAATCTTCTAGGCAGATGTGAGTCGTTTGCATCGTTGTGCAAGAAAGATGGTCTGTTTTGTTGGTTTAGATCAAAGGATTTAATCTTGAAATTTGTTTTTTGATTTTTTAAAGATTTAAATCTGAACCCAGTCTAAAGACATCAAACCAGGGGAGTTTATTGAAGCATGATTTTTTTTTTAATAATGAATTCATGGAGAAAAATTCCATATTTTATAATCATGAATTATTCCCTTTAGAATCTGATTTAAAATACATGTAGACTTTTACATGCAAACATATCATTTTTAGACGCATGCATAAGAGTTCAAAAATATATAAATTCAACATATTACCTATCTTCTAGTTGATTCATAATGAGTTACATAGTACTCTAATTCTGAAGGTGTTATAACTCTCCCATCCTCAGAAAATATCATCCTTGACATTTTAAAATTTAAATCATCAAAATAAATCTAGATAT